TGTATTACAATTGTTTTTGGTCAAAATAAAGCTAGAACAATCAATAATGTTGCGTTATTTTTATTTATTTGTAACCAGTCCCTATGTTTCTGCGAAATTTTGGTAATTATTTCTTTCGATAGAGCAAAGTTTCGGCTTTAATAATCGTTTTTTAAAATTGCGATACGATTATTTTCAATTGAATTATGAACGATTTCAACATGCTCATTTTTCATTTAATCAGCGATAACTCAGTAATTAAAACTCGTAGAAAGACTTTTAAAAAACATTTTATTAAGGAAGCTTCAAGCTTTCACACCAGAGAGGTGAAAAACCTTTGTAAATTTTTTTTACACACGCCTTAGTCGGCAAGATGAGCAGAAAACTTCTAATTTTATCAAAGTCGTGGTTTTCTACATGTAAAAATTACTAAAACTAACAGAAATTTAAAAAAGTAGAGAAGCATTGGAAAGTAGAGAATTCGAGCTTTAAAACACTTTTTTGAAATTTGAATTTTGTTTATTTTTAATGAAGTTACAGCTGATTGAATTTTGCCTATTTTTAGGAAAAACTAGATAACACAAGCGCGCTTCGCGCGCGCCAAACAAATTTTACTCCGCGAGTAAAAATTTTAATTTGTTTGTTAATTTCAAATTCTAACATCCTTCTATTCCCGAATTCTATTATACATATACATAATTTTATAATGTACATAATAAAAAGGGAATTAAAATATGTATATAAATTTAAGATATAACAGGCAGTAAGAGCCAACTTAGGATGACAGTGCGTCATCCTAACGAAACTAAATTTTTCGTTAGGATTAAGTATCTGTGCACAAGGCACCAATATTTTACTTGGTCACGGCCAAGATTTAAAATATGAAAATAATCTCATATTTGAGATTTAATTTCAATAACCCTTTCACCCCCTACGGAAATAAGTAAATGCAAGAGAAAAATATAGATCCGAAAGTCGCTGAATCGGGAATCGAACCCGAGACCTTTCGCTTGCCGGGCGACTGCTCTTCCAACTGAGCTATTCAGATCCTTTCGATTCTCTACTTTCTCTGCTATATGTAGTAATGTTGATAAACAAACGCATTTTTAAGCCAGCGTGTATAAATTAAGAGTTTAACAAGGCTCTGTAATATAAATATAAATTTAAAGATATAAGACAGGCAGTAAGAGCCAACTCTCGGATGACAGTGCGTTATCCTAACGAAACTAAATTTTTCATTAGGATTAAGTATCTGTGCACAAGGCACCAAATATTTTACTTGGTCACGGCCAAGATTTAAAATATGAAATAATCTCATATTTGAGATTTAATTTCAATAACCTTTTCACCCCCCTACGGAAATAAATAAATGTACTTAATTCTAACGAAAAATTTAGTTTTGTTAGGATAACGCACTGTCATCCGAGAGTTGGCTCTTACTGCCTTCTTATATCTTTAAATTTATATTTATATTACAGAGCCTTGTTAAACTCTTAATTTATACACGCTGGCTTAAAAACGCGTTTGTTTATCAATATTATTACATATAGCAGAGAAAAGTAGAGATCGAAAGGATATGAATAGCTCATTGGAAGAGCAGTCGCCCGGCAAGCGAAAGGTCTCGGGTCGATTCCCGATTCAGCGACTTTCGGATCTATATTTTTCTCTTGCATTGACTTATTTCCGTGGATGGTGTGGTTTTAAGGTGCGTTTGAAAAGTCTCGGTTAGAAATTAATCATTCATATGAGATTATTTCAATTTTAAATCTTGGCCGTGACCAAGTAAAATATTTGGTGCCTTGTGCACAGATACTTAATCCTAACGAAAAATTTAGTTTCGTTAGGATAACGCACTGTCATCCGAGAGTTGCTCTTACTGCCTGTCTTATATCTTTAAATTTTATATTTATATTACAGAGCCTTGTTAAACTCTTAAAATTATGTACATAATAAAAATTCGGAAATTAAAATTATGTACATAATAGAAATTCGACAAATTAAAATTATGAACATAATAGAAATCCACGAAGAAAAAATTATGTACATAATAGAAATGAAAATTAAAATTATGTACATACATAATAAAATTCGGTGAATTAAAATTATGTACATAACGGAATTCGGTTAATTAAAAATTATGTACATAATGAAAATATAGAATTAAAATTATGTACATAACAAAAAATTTTGGCGAATTAAAATAAAATAACGCTTCCCTGTCATGTAACTCACAACGGTGCAAAAATAAATATTATATATATATTATTTATTGCCTTTATATGAGTTAACCATTTGATCTTTATAATTCATTATTAGGCATATTAAGCCTGATTTTAATCATCAATTATTTCTATTATCTAAAATTCCTCTATTCCAAATTAATTTTTTGTTTATTTATTAGAATTCTCTTTACACACTTTATAAACAAAAAATAAACAAAGAAAAACAGAATAACAATTTCGTTCTGCACATTTATGCTATTAATACCAAAATATAGAAAAGGGAAATATTAAGTCCTTTAAAATAAATATAAATTTAACATATATAAGATAGGCAATAAGAGCCAAATCGCGGATGACAGTGCGTTATTCTAAACGAAACTAACTAATTTTTTCGTTAGAATTAATACCTGTGCACAAGGCACCAAATTTTTACTTGGACACGGCCAAGATATAAAATTGGAATAATCTACAAGAGATTTTTAATTCCATGTATCCCCTATTCCCCCTAAAGAAATAAAGTGCGAGAGAAAAATATAGATCCGAAAGTCGCAGAATCGGGAATCGAACCCGAGACCTTTCGCTTGCCGGGCGACTGCTCTTCCAACTGAGCTATTCAGATCCTTTCGATTCTATACTTTTCTCTGTTATATATATTAATGTTGGTAAATAAACGCCTTTAAGCCAGCGTGTATAATTAAGAGTTTAACTAGGCTCTGTAATATATAAATATAAATTTAACATATATAAGATAGGCAATAAGAGCCAAATCGCGGATGACAGTGCGTTATTCTAAACGAAACTAAATTTTTTCGTTAGAATTAAATACCTGTGCACAAGGCACCAAATTTTTACTTGGACACGGCCAAGATATAAAATTGGAATAATCTCTACAAGAGATTTTTAATTCCATGTATCCCCTATTCCCCAAAGAAATAAAGTGCGAGAGAAAAATATAGATCCGAAAGTCGCAGAATCGGGAATCGAACCCGAGACCTTTCGCTTGCCGGGCGACTGCTCTTCCAACTGAGCTATTCAGATCCTTCCTTTCGATTCTTACTTTTTCTCTGTTAATAGTTAATTTATAAACGCTGGCTTAAAGGCGTTTATTTACCAACATTAATATATATAACAGAGAAAAGTAAGAATCGAAAGATCGGAAATAGCTCAGTTGGAAAGAGCAGTCGCCCGGCAAGCGAAAGGTCTCGGGTTCGATCCCGATTCTGCGACTTTCGGATCTATATTTTTCTCTCGCACTTATTTCTTTAGGGGGAATAGGGGATACATGGAATTAAAATCTCTTGTAGAGATTATTCCAATTTTATATCTTGGCCGTCCAAGTAAAAATTTGGTGCCTTGTGCACAGTATTTATTCTAACGAAAAATTTAGTTTCGTTTTAGAAATAACGCACTGTCATCCGCGATTTCTCTTAATTGCCTATCTTATATATGTTTAAATTAATTTATATATTACAGAGCCTAGGGAAACTCTTATTTAAAAAATAATCCTAAAATAAAACAATCGACTGATATAATACATAAAATTGGGTATCTAATCATCATATAAATATAAAGTTCTGCAGTATTTTATCCCACAAGCAAGCTTTTGCATCGCCGGATTCAGAATGTAAACTATCGTTATTTGATTGTGAATAACTAAAACGTTGTTATATTAACGTTGAATATTAAGTGTTAGCAAACAGCTCATACGTGATTTTAAAGCCAAATATTCCCTCAAAAGTCTCTACTTTTTTGTCAGTGCACTTATTCAACTCAGGAGTATATTTTTTAACTGATATAATCTTTGTGCTAGACTTTATATTAGTGATGTGAAATCCAACTTATTTTCTAAATTCACGAAGCTATCAGTTTTCTTATTACTCTCGAAAGAACGATCGATTTGACATGGTGATTGAATTCCAGAATTGTACTTTCTATCTCTTTCTACAAGTTTCGTTAAATTAGTATCAAGCGTTTTATAAACTTCTTTCGGAATATAACTGTCTTCAGTATTAATATTATTGCTAATCGTACATAGCGATTTTGTGTTTCTATTATTCATTATTTCTATATTATTATTTAAATTTTCAATTATCTCCTTCAAAATCTTATTGTCAGTTACTGTTATTGATTTCCTTTGTTGTTATATTTACTATAGATAATACATCTGTAATATTAGTAAATATTGATTTCAAATTCGGTATTATATCTTATAATAGATAAATGTACATAATCTAAATTAACTGAATTTCTATATATATTGTACATATAATTTTAATTCACCGAATTTCTATTTCCTTTTCTAACTGAGAAACTGTAGTCAAAACCACTTAATCACAAAATAATAAACACTTATTTATCAGTTTTTAACTATTATATTACACTAAATTCTTTAATACACAGTCACTATCACTACACTAACCCCTGATACATACAACTGTCAAAATATGCAACACGGCTCATAAGTAAACGCAACAATAGAACCAATCGGCATCGCGGATTGAAGGCAACAATACACTCGAGATTTTCGAGACTTCGATAAATAAATAACATGCTTTTTTAAAATGGACTAGACAACACAAGCGCGCGCTTTGATATTTTTTTTATTTTATAACTGTCAAATTGTTAATCTTCGCGATGACAGTTGCTTGATACTTTCAATTTAACAAACAAAGCGAATCGAGATAAACAATCAGCAGCACAGAAAAGCGGCAACAATACTTGCAAGAATGCCTTTTTAACAATGGACGTAATTTTAATTCCCGAGTTTCTATTATGTATTACATAAATTTAATTTGCCGAATTT